TAGAACGCATGTAGAGAACAGGATTATAGAATTCGATATGACATCTACCGTAAACAGACAGAGTAATAGCAAATGATTGTAGAAAACAGCAAAGACCGTAGGTGCTATAAATAACTAAACATAATGAGCTATGTTAGAGCTACGTTAGAGCTATATTAGAGTATAGTAGAAATAGACTCTAAAACTATTTACACTCGGTAAAATACAAAATATCTATATTTAAGAATATGCTAAGGACTATAGTGAAGTCTAAATATACTACAATGAGTATGTAAAACGATCTTTCCGACTTATCAGTGGATGTGAATTTTGTAGCTTAGTTTAGATAAATTTTAAATTTTTCTTTGGATTTATAGAAAAAATATACGTACTAAAGTCATTTATGGATTCCATGATGGTGGTCTTCATACAAAGTCATTTGATATCAGCAGCTAAGTGTAATAAATTAAAATGAAGGTTTTCTTACTGGAAAGAATATGAATGATTAATAAGTATTTAATATTTGCAAAATAATTATTCGAACATACCGTCTCGTAATATATATTAATGTACTACTTGCTTAGCACCGAAAAACTTGATGTGAGTATTTAAGGAGCTCAAACCATCAAGTAAAATCGTTGGACATTCTAGTTGTATGGGAGGGATAGTAGCTGTTTAGAGGTTTATGGATATCTTATAGACAGTATTTATCTCAGATTAAAATCGCTAAAGATGTTGTCAGATCTTAACTTTTTCTGTGTAGGGTAATTCTGATGTCACTAATACAACTATTAATTTCAACTAGTGAAACTCTCTAAACTCTAGTAAATAGAATGCATAATGTTGTAGTCTTCTTAACTATGTAGTTTTCTAAAGCAATATCTGTCAATTTCTTATTCTTTTACTACTCCAAGAATACTATAGTTAACGAACAATGTAACTTATAATCTTTATCTTGTTATCCTTAATCGTAATATGCTGAACGATAAATAGTTTTATTAGATTGGGTAGATGATCGAACCACTTTGATGACAACGATTGCGTAGTAAAGAGACCGTGATAAGAAAAGTAATTAATTTATTATTGTAATAGTCATAGACTGCTAAACTTTAACCCATGCAATAGTATTCTAGTCGATCCCTCGCTCATTATACTTTCTTACTGTTAATAGTAGAAATTTTAAACGCTCTACTCGTAATACCCATCATAAAGGCGCTATGCCTTTAGGCTATCGTTACTTTAACTTTCCTTTATTTTTCTGCTAATAACCAATGCAGTATGTTTTTTCGTGCACTAAAAAGTCCGAGGACTACGTGTGTTGGTTTAGGATTAGGGACGAGTTCGGAAGCAGGTTGTGGAAAATTTAAGATTTAGTTTCAGTCAGGATATTACTGCTTGTTTTAGCATCAGAGAGGCCATTTGCATTCTCTACATTGTGCACTGGCAGCGTATAAATTGCCCATTTCTCATTAGATAGTTGCCACAAAACAGATTTGCAACAAGATAACGTCATGTATGATCTATAAGTCAATTCCTTGAACCATGTATCAAGGAACGATATCTGTACTATCAGAAACACTTTTGCTCTACTAGCAGACTACACAAAGACTTAGACGGCTCGTATTTTACGTTAAACACTAAGTTTAAGAATTCACTTTATTACACGATGTACTGCATTAATATACTCTTCCTCAATAGTTCGTGAGTCATAGTTAGTACGATTAACTTTGGAATCATTTACTGAATTAGATATTAATTTTAGCTACTGGTTCCTTAATGCAGACAACAGTATTTACGAGCATAGATATCTGATCGCTAATAATCACAATGATTCGAACTGTAAGTAGGTGATTTGTATTTCTATTGTAACTATTAATTTCAGTATGTGTATATGTTTCACTATCATAAAAAGTCAGTGCTATATTAAAACACAGTATATCCACATTAGAAGTTAACTAAATAAGGATAGGATGACAGAATTATCCTAACATAGATATTTCTACTCTAATACAGTATATAACACTGTTACAATGGTATGTCAATAAAGCCTCTGTCATTTGTTGACAACTTGATTTTCTCAGTTATAAGTCTAAAACAAGTATGAGACAGCTAATAGCACGATGTCCTTCTTTAAGCCAGGAAATTTAAGTATAATCGCAAGAGCTTTATTATGCGTAGGAAATGAGCCCGTTATTAACAATTGTAGAATGGTGTCTTTAAATTAATTTAGAAAATAACTATCTTTTGGAACTGCATAAATAGTTGGATATTGAATATCAGAAACACTGGCAATAAAAAAAATTAATTACTTATTTGTATAAAATTTTATATAAAATTAAATACTTAATTTGACAAATTATAATATTTATCTTTGATAGACTTGAATAACCTATTAGCGTGACGAGTAAGGTGATTATTATTACTTAGCTATGGATGTCAATTTCGTTAATTAATCTGAGACTGAATATTAACATGTTTTGGATTCAAAATCATAATTTTTTATAACTGATTTAAATTGAATTGGCTAAAGCTGAAGTAAAAATTTTGTTTGTACAACTTAATATCATGTAACCTATTCTAAGAATTAAGTACAATCTTAAAATTATTCTCAAAGTTTCTTACTGTAAATATCCTTCCATAACAGTTATAACTTCTAACTAACTCTAGTTTCCTATCTGTTCCGCGACGAGTAATATTGTGCTATGCTATATGAAATAAGAGTCTCATTAATGCTGTGCCATATGCTATAAGTTCTCTAGTACCGTAAGTAGATATTTCGTGCAAAAAATTGCAAAGGGTTAGCAGCTATTATGCTAGGGTACTTTGAAAATAAGCTTATTGTGAACTCACGGGCTAATAGATATAATTTAGCAGTCCTTTGGAAACTAATCTGTCCACAGCAATGATAAGAGAATCAAAGCTTTGATCATTAGAGCTTAGCCGAATACTTATGAACTATGGCAGCGCTTAAATTTTCATATTTATTAGTCTCTGTCTTTGGCAGTCATTTTAGAAATAAATTCGATTGCTATTAATACAAGTCTGTAATAAATATTCTTAAACAACTTAAGCTACCGTTAACTTTTAAATATACTTAAAAAGAGAAACTATGGTCTTCTAACTATTAATTATTCGTGGTAATTCAGTCACATTAGATTTGCTTGCATTACATATTACCAATATGGGTTTCGATCGAAGAATCTTACTATCCCAAAATCTGATATAAAAATTAATTTGTATCTTATATACTAAGAACTTTGAAGACACGATTTTAGTATTCTCCTTCTAAAATTCTTTCGAGATAATTTATATTCTTACATTTTAATCTCTTCTATGATTTAATTGTGATAAATGGTACAAGCATAGGTGTTTAGTTTCAAATTCGTTCACAAAGCAATTACTTTCAAAATCAGAAAGAAGTGTATTAATTTCGAACGTACTTAATTTTTATCTTTTTGTATTCTAAGAAGAATCATTACTGTACACTCTTTGCCAACATGCTCACTTTCGGTTTAACATCTAACCTTGTGCATTAATTGAAACATGATCACCTTTCTTCTTCACTATCACTTTTTCTCCATTATTGCTTTGATATTGAACAGAATTTCTTGTTAATTCGGGCGATTTCCCCCGTTTATCAGCTTTTGCGAATAAGCCGCGACTTTCAGAGACGGGTGCCAATCTAATTAAAGCAAACTAATACTTAAAGGAAGCATAATCATTTTGAATTTTAGAAAGAATTCCCTAACTGAGTATAAAACTCAGATAATCGTTAAAATATGCAAATAAGATATCTCTTTACTGTCAAAAATTAGTGATAAACAAAAACGGCTTACAATAACAAACAATATACAGCCTGTTTTTATAGATTTACTGTAGAACAGATCTACAATTGAGCTAAATCGCTACATCTTTCCTAATTTATTTTAAAAACATAAACAGCAGACAATCCAGCTGATATTTTTTTCTAACCCTGCACATACTTAATATTCATAAATAGATATATGGTAACTTTTAAGGAATAGTATTTCGTCGGCTTTATTACAATCCACCCATGAATGTATATGTCATTTACTGTAAAGATAATCGGGCATTTTGCAAAGTGATCATTATTATAGATACATGATAAACTATGTGTAGCAAAGTCAATTCTTAAGGGTCTTCAATAAATCAGACTATCTGGGTTTAAAACCCGAATTAAGCATTATTATAATAAAACCAACCGTAACTGTAGATACAACAAGCTACGAACAAGAAGACTCCTGATCTACTCGTTACATACGCTTATAAATCCTAGCGCATGGCCTATTTAGTTATGGTAGTAACATTATTACGCTTCCAGGCACTAAGTACGGGCACTGAAATACAATATTTTGCCGCGTCATGAGCAACCAATCGCATTAAATTGCGCAAGGTTTATAGCCTACGATAGTGCATATTAGCAATTCCGTACTTAATTAAGAATTTAGCTCAAGCACTAAACTCACTGCACTACACTGTGGTATTGGATTTATCATTATAAAGAGTATGTGCCTAATTTATTTCAGTGACTCAAGCTTAGATAATATCTTTGAGTTGCTATTTTGTCTAGTAGAAAATGATTATATACGATTTCGTACAAGTTTTTGGTCATTACTTTACTATATTTTTAAATTTTAATTAACTTACGATGACTTTGTCTGGGATTTAGGAAAATCTTGTGAAGTACTAGGTTCGTAAACCTTCCTATAAAATTCAAAAGTGAACAAAAATTTTAATATGGCAACCACGTGCCTTTGAATGACAATATTATTGAAGGAACATAAAGTTTTTATATTTGATTCTCTGGTTAAAATTTAATTTTAGAATTAATAAACTAAAACCCGCCCAAAAACTGATTCATACCTTCCAGTATCAATTTTTAATTTTATTTGTTTGGCTCTCCGTCTTTCCCAAGCTTTTTTAACCTTTGCAAATGAAAATAAGTTTTCACAGCAACGGTCAGTACATTTAACGACATTAGGATAACTCTCCACAATTCTATATAGAGTTCAGTTCACAAGAAGGGCTCAGATTTAATTGAAGGACATGATAATTAATGAAGTGGTTAAGCTATCAAGTTTACTCATATTTTTATATACTGTACCTGAGTATGTTATGGGAAATAAATAGAATATATATGTAAATAATAATTTTTAAAATAACAATTAAATTTACTAAGATTACAATACAGTGCACAGCCGTATAGTAAACATCGTATACTATAGTATTTATTCTATATATCCAGCGTTAAATTCATTAATATGAATACTAAATAAGATAATTTATGATTATAATGACCTCGCTTAATTAAATAATTAAGCTACAAACCTTTTCACTTCTTACTCCATGAAATATAAAAAGGAAAAAACCCTAAAGATATAGCAGAGATATTACCCGGTAAGTAAATTTACTTATTTTTATATAAATTATACCAATCCTACAGACGCTAACCTGCAAAGAATTAGCAATTGCAAAAGGAAATTGTAAAACCGGAGAATCAGTTATAAACAACAGGCAGCCCAGTATCCAACCGGAACCAAGCAAGGGTAATAGGATTAACATGTCTTTAAGTACAATTCTAAGCAATCATGTATATGCATTGCCGTTAATCTAAATTGCTATAAACCTTTACGCGAGCAAAAATGTTACCATAATATTGCTATATATGATTTAATATCATTTTTTCTTTAAGAAAAGTACTATACCTAAATAGATTGGATTCTTTTTCAGTAGATTTTCTGGGGGCATTCTTAACTGTGGTAATATGACCTCGTAAAACCAAAATTAGGAAATTGATGTTCAGCTAATAAGTAAAACAGTTTTGAAAGTATTTAGTTGCTAATAACTAAAAGTTGTTGGAAGTATATCTTTATTGCTGAACTATGAAACTTTGCAAACCAAAATCATAAATGAAAACGAACTTGATTCGAATGGTAATAAATCTAGAAAAGTTTATTTTTAAGTATCTGAAGATAATATAGCTTAGGTAGGATACTTTTGCTCAAAATATAATATACCAAAATCATCACTAAAACAGGAATTATAAATCCTAAAATAATAGGAGGATTGGTAGCCAGCCAACATCTACAAAAAAATTAAAATCTAATATGAAAAGCTTGATATGAGTTAGCGATGCTTATGCTATCATTGGAATACGATTACAAGATTCTTATTTACTAACTTTATAACAAAATATGAATATTTACTTTGTTGATGTACAAAATCTGTGTATTTAATAAATAAATTTTCTGATATCCTATTCAATTTCAACGTAAAATTTATCTCGCTATTACGTACGCTTGCATGCCAATGTAATTCTCTATTCCCACGGAAAATATTACTGCAGTTAATGTGCCAACAGCAATGACAATAGATAAGCCTAAGTAGAAGAATGATAGCTAAAGATCAGCATATTGGTATTTCAAGGTGTTATCATCTTGAGATAGAGTAAATATAGCATTTCTTGTGATTGTACCGTAAGCGAATACGCAGTATACCCAAGGCTTAACTTCAGAACTGAAAACTCGAACGATTTTGATGTAAGCATGCAAACCCTCTACAAGCATCCAAGAGAATGATGATAGCAACGTAATATGTAGAACAAAGGTTGAGACGACGCAAACTATCTAAATTAAAATAAAGAAACCGCCGAAGTAAGATTTATAAAATAATTGTATGATAGTTCAAATTTACTAACTTTGAATCAGGTGTATGTAATTATCACAAGATTATGAAGGTGCGCCATACAGAATTTACTTTTAAGATTGAGTAATTGTGGTAATTACTTGCAAATAATTCTCATGGCATTATACTGCCCTAGTTATTCGGCATATGCATTGCTGCACTGTTCAAACAAGCTAGTTTTAACAACTTACAAAGTAATTAGACAATCCAAATGTCGTAATTATTAATATATCTGATATCAACAGATTTAGCATTACGTTGAAATGGATAAATATTACTACTTTTCCTTCGAAATACCTAATTAAATGAATTTTAATTTTTAAATTAGTATACTAGATATGAATATATATGAACGTATTTTTATTTAGGAAAACATCTTAAAAATGATTTTGTACTTTAAGCTGGTCGTCTATACCTCCATAATACGATATAAAAGATCAAAGTAATGGCGAGACTTATTACCGATAAACCACAGCCGATATAGGTTATAAGTTGCAATGATAATAATGTAGGTTCATCAGGCTAGAAAATAAGTTGAGTTATGATTATATTTACACGTGTCTACAATTTTGATGCGTTGGAAATTCTTGAACATAGTCAAGATGTCCCCTCAAGATCAGAGTTATTATTCACAGCCTACCGTGCTATTTGTTAACTGTACCAATAAAGCAAAATGTGTTAAATGATTGCAGTGGCAAATTGTTGTTGTTGCATTTGAAAAATTTTTAGTACACCCATAGTTAGACCAGTCACCAGTCGATTTATAGCTATACAATTAATACGTAAAATTACTATCTGATTCATTAAGTTATTTATCATCCTATATGGTTTTAATGTAGATGAGAAGACTCTATAGTACACTTCTATAGATTCTGTAGCTTATCCTTACACAATGGTATTATGAACTATTTACGACGCTAGAATCCTAATATCTACTTAATTATATGGCATGAAATACTCGCAAAATCCATCTTATATCGATCCGCACTTATCGTAAAATTCCCAAAATACACATTCATTCGTTGTATTCCTACTACTCGTTTCCTATAAAGTATAAATTTTTCACTCATATTACAAAGTATTCCGATATTGACTTATAGTTTTGTTTAAAAAAGTGATATAAGATTGTGGAAATAAGTTTTTGCAAGTTTTATAAACATTTGATCCTGACATTAGAATTTTGAGATATTAATTGGATACGCTCTATATTTGGCAATGCAAAGAAGCTAATTCTATACTCTGATCAATTATAATAAGTAGTACTAGTATTAATTGATTTCTGATCTTAAATTCAACTCTAATATTGCCCCTAAATTGCGAAGATGATATCGCGTTGAAATACTCCTGCAATTCTGCTATATACGCTTCGACTGAATAAATCCTTAGTAACGTGATAGGTCCATCAATTCATGTAATGATGTCAAGTTTAAATATAGTTGTTATTAACATATTAGAGATGTTTTGCCATACGATGATTCCTCATTCCAAAATGAAGGCTTGATGATCAAAGGGTGTAGCACTGTTATATGAACTTAGAACAAGTAGGAAAAATGTTCTTCTTACCTGAATACGATTAAGAATAATTTCTATCGGCTGAATTAAATTAGAAACAGATCTATTACGAATGGCACTGGATAGAACTTGCGAGTTTATTCCAATCCTTGTATTACCACCACTTGAGGTATAGTAAGATAGATATAATAACTTAATATTTTTAAATCTCTTCACAACTAATATAATTTCTGGTGATAGTACTTTCATGATAAGTGTACTATTCTAATTCTTAAATAATAATTTGCAAATCTCAATATAATCTTAAAAAAGTATGACAGCAACGGCTTGATCATCTTAAATAGCTTTTAAACTAAGACATACGTATTATAAAGCCGACTTACATAGCGGAATTTGCGTTTCCTGAATCTTGAGAATAAGGTAAGAACTCATTTAGAGACTTGTATATGAAGTTTGTTACACGAACATCGCTATCTTGACCTAAAAGTAGCAATTTCGAAAAAAATTGTATAAATTAACTAAACTGTTGTCATATAAGTACAACGATAATAGGAAATTATATCAAACCGGAAAATATTTCCGCCGGCAATTTTATCTTATTTCCTGTCCACCATGAAGCTTGGTTTTGAGTGGAATTTGAAGGAAAAGTAATTCCGTCGAGGTTACCAGGCGGAATATTAGCCAATGTCATTACTTCCAAGTTACCATAAAAATTGATTATAACCATCATCATGAGCTATATTATTTATCTTTAATCCTTTGGCGAATGGTATATCGCTTCCGTTTAGTTATTACTGTTATACAGTATCACTTATGTTCATGCGTACTTATAATTAGCTAAGAAATAGGGGTCTCTTACCAATGTTGGGTAGAGTTAGTGTTAATTCAGGTTCATCTTGTAACTCAAATTTACTGGCAAATAAGTCTAAGTTTTGCATAGTCTGAGCTGCTCCTGGTTCTTTCTATGTATCAAATTATATTAAAATTAAAAATATTTAACGATAGTTAAATTAATTTAATTTTGGCTCATGTAGAAATTAAACCATCAATACTAAACAAGTGAGTGATCCATTACAACTAATTTTATACATAAAGTTTTACCGCTGAGATTGCTTCCCATTGTTCTTTATTTCTGTTATCTAGCAAATTATTACTGGTGGCAAGAAAGTTCTGTTGAAAGTAAAGTTATAAACCTGTAAAATATTGTTTTTACTACGTTGCACGTATGTTTTTATGAGGGCTACAAAAATAGAGTGGAGTAATATGATATAGTTGCTATTCCTTATAATCCTGTAAATTTTGTTATTAAAGTAAATACGTTTCAATTTTAACTTAATCAACTAAGAATATTTTTTATTTATTGGAAGTAGTAAAACAGATACATGATATCTGATTCATACAGTCCGGAGCATACCTCTAGCTGATTAATACTCTTAACCACTGTTGATTCTCTGGCTATTTTTTCTAATATGTTATTAGCAATCATCATATCTCCAGCTTGAATCGGCTTCGTAGTGTTTATAACAGTAACATTAGCAAGCTCTTGTAAAACTTCAGACTTCACTTCTTCATTCTGTAAAGATACATTCTTAACCTAGAAATTGAGAAGTTGTAGTGAAATTCAGAGCTGTAAAATTAAAAAGTTATAATATCCGCTAAACGGCCGGCTCATTAACAGTAATAATAGATATATTCACATTATAGAACCTTAATTTAAAATCTATATTTAGGATATTGCAAATAATCAAATTATCATACCATGGAGTCCAGTTGCACAAATACTGCCGTTCTACACTGAGTAGTATCAACAATACCCCAGGTTGCGAGTTCACTTGATGACTTTAGACATTGGCGATAAGCATTTCCTAAATAGCAAAGAATTTTTGTGAGTATTTTAACTTCCATAACGATATAAGATTATAAATAGCCGCTGTTCAAATTATTTATTAGTATATATGTAAGGATCTTATTTTACTCTCGGTTTTACCTTGCGCAGGAGCAACGCATTTAGCTGTAGTAGTAGATCCTGCGATTGTTGCAGTCCATAAGATACCTTCCCTTAATTCTTTAGAACAAAATGATGGGTGTTGTGAGGTTGCTTTAGGTCTAGTAGGAGTTATTGTTGTTCTAAAAGTTGTAGTAGGCCGAGTAGTATCAGTAGTTGGTGTAATCATCATTGTCTGACCAGCAAGAGTAGAAGGCAATGGTATCGTTGGTAACTTTTTTTGGTAAGAAAGACTGAGATTTACTTGAATCGATTGGATGGCTGTTGAGATTTTGCAAGAATAGATTCCGCCATTCTCAGATTTCATACTATTAATAGTCAAAATTGAGGCTGTAGCATTAGATAAGATACTAATCTGCGACTCATTAAATCCCGAAGACGTAGATAGAGGTAATGGTTTATCATTGTGTAACCACAAGAAAGATATTTCGTCCAAAGCAACCAATGTGTGACATACCATACTTATTCTAGTGCCATTCAAAGCCAGGTAACTATTTTCACTACCATCTCTTAATTTTTCTCTTGCAAATAATTTGACTGATTCAAATCCTAGCTCTAAAATATGAGATAGCATTCCAGTTAATATCAGCAATTTATTACGATATTAATATATGAAAATAACATTTGCCCTAAGATAGCGTTAAGAATATTAGTTTCATGGCCTCAATACTAATTCTGATGAGATAGCATTATTTCAAGCAATGCACATAGAAATTTTTTAATTTTTAATGAAGATTTCATTAAACTAAACTACTTGTAAATGCTTAAAAAATATTAATCGCAAACAGTTATAAAGTCGTCTAACCAATCAAACAAAGATTTATAGTAGATAAAGTATTCATAACTTGCAAAGTTTCTTCTCTTTTAATAATATTTTATGAGAAGATTATCAAAATTGGAAACTACAAAAGTATTCGGAATGAACCTACCTCCTTCGTAACCTAACTGATAACCGTTGCTACCATCACGAACATCATCACTACGAAAATAAATCAAAACGACATTGCTCTGTATAGAGAATGGTTTGGGTAATGTTTTTCCACATTGCGGTGGAGTCGAAGCGCTAACTATGGCATCATTGCACTCTTGATTAGCAGCTTTTCCAGGTAAAACAAATATATAATCGTACGAACATGAACTTTCATATTCAATATTAAAGGAATTGAACCACAAAAAGATTACTTTGGTGTCATTTAGGATGATTCTTGAACAGCATCTTACTGATTCTGGATATGCATTTGGATAGTTTGGAGAGGTGATATTGGCGGAAAATTTCGTATAAATTTTTGAGCAAGAATTTGTATCTAAATTTTTAAAAATGAAGAAATCATTGTATTAATCTAGCAATTGAAAATTAAATCTGACTAAATCTAATTTTAAAAATTATTGAGAGATTGGAAATTTATATGGATTACATTTAAGTCAAAGGTTAGAAAATACAAATACACTAACACTTAAGATTAGTTTTACTTTAACTACTAACTGTATTTAAGGCATAAATTAAGAATATTTCATACTGCATGGCTATCATGGTTATATTTATTCAAGAATTAACTCACCTCGTGTAATTCGTGAGTTAATACGTGCCGATATGATTGGAAATGTCGCCTAGGTGAAAAAAATTAATATATACCTATGAATTCTTGATAGTCAATAACCAATAATATTTTATGCTTTAGATCAGTTTAAATAAGGATCTAGTTGTAGGGTTATTTTGGGATATTTATGCCTTAAAAGATTAATTTTATGCCATTATAATGCTACTGCAGATGCAAAAAAGACTTTGGTGGAATTTTTATATTGGACTAATTAGGCTTCCTGCTACATAAAATCAAATTATCGCTTAAAATCTTTAAAAAGATAAGTGCTATTGATTTCATAAAGTCTCTAAAAACTCTGTTGGAGTCTAGTAAAATATCGACAGATAAATTTGGCATTGCTATTTTTCAACAAGCTATGATTTTTAAGAGTTTTAGGTATCTTTGACCATATTGTATCTCAATACTAAATTTTAAAAGTTTTACAATACAAATTTCTCCAATATTATTTAAAAATTTAAATGATACTAATTCATGACATGTTACAAGTTAAAGTAATGAATGTTCACTAATAAACCCTTTGAAATATCTAAAAAATCAGTCTCTTGAGTGCTCAAGTGACTTCTCTATGAGCTAATGACACGTATCATCACTGGCTGCTTAAAAACTTTAAGTATTTTATTTTGTAAACTTAGAAATTTCTTTCGCACCAATAATGCTGCTGCCAATATGATGACATTTAGACAAGTACAAGTTTTCATGATTGCTGTGAAAATTTCTACCGACTTAAGTAATGCTCTCTATCCAATTTCAGAAGGCTACCAAATATTTCGCTCTTTACGTGACTTGGTCAGTTTAGAAAATGTTGAATGAAGATTTGATTATATAATTATATACCGGCACTTTTATAATCTCTAGCCTAGATATGAATTTTTGACACATATTTTATTTTGCATAAATTATCTCTGTTTGCTGTTAAATAATTACTATTGCATACCGATTTCATGTTTTAAGAGAATAAGATTGGTGTAATAATTGGTCATTTCTTTAATGTAAAGGAAATGGGAAAATTTCTATTATCCATTTATTTACAAACTAATGTAAATTCCTACATAGTCTTCCGCGTTATAAAGTTATCGTTCATTTCACTGGCAAATAACAAATATATATTTATGAGAAAAAACTTAAGGTATTACAGAGGTTCATATCCAGATAAATCTTGCATATGCATTAATTTTCAGGCGATTTATTATATCTTATTAGATAAACGAGTCCTCTTGTCTATCTTCTGTTCGAATCAGCAGTATCTGATGATTTTCAGATATGACGTAGATCATGTTTACTTCGCGCACAGAAGGTATAATAAGTCAACAGGCTTACTCTAAACCACTCATGCTAATAGTAAATTTATGGGCAATACGTTGATGATTGATCAAAGGCTTCATACTCTCAGTTTGAATCATACTAAATCAATCTACTCTCAACAAACGCATTATGTACACATAGCAATATTCTGCCATTGTTAATGGATAATATATGATTTGATAAAGCATATGTACAAATAAAAATTTTCAAAGTAATTCTGAACATATTTGCTGGTAAACATAGGCTATTACGTGAGATAGAAATTGAAGTGACTATCTCATTATAATAATTTGCTAGCATTGAGGCACGATCTTAAACAGTATTTGTAATAATCTAAATGTATCTACTTTAACCAGTTACGCAAGTGATCTTTTTTTACCAAAATGGCATAGTTGTTGCTTAAGGTGGTGCAATATGAACGTTTAACAAATTCTAGCGAAAAGTTTAGGTTTATTAACAAATCAGCTCCTGGAGGGTTGTTACAAGTCTAGTTAAATTACCTCGACTGCTAACAAAACCGTTTATATTGATGAAATTTACTGGTAATCTTACGTTGTAGTATGAGAATTATTAAATGTTAAATTCCAAGAATTGAAGATCAGCGTCAAAAGTTCTTAGAATTTATTGGATTTAATGATGTCATTTATCGGTGCTATGAGGTATACGTAATACATATTCATGAACATTTTCTTAGAACTCAGAAGCAATACAGTATATCATTCTAAGAATTGAAATATGTTTTGATGACTTAGCTATATGTAATGAAATGAAATATGTAGAGATCAAGCTACAAAACTTTAACAAACTTTGATTCTACTTTCGTTGCACTCCGGTCGACGTAACGTAACTTTCACACAAAATAAAATTTGGGGAAATAATCGAACAACAATTTATTACAAAACAAAAATGGAGAGAAGTATAAACCGAACAACCGCACAAATACTTAGCTTTAAGTATTAATAAAATAAGTCACAGACTTAAAAACTGTCGACGACCAAACAACATTTCAAAAAGAAGAACGTTTTAACTTACGACAATTCGTCCCCGAAGGCCTTTTAAATTCAACAAGTTCTTCAAATAAAATTTTCTTCTACTCTCTCTCTAAATTTTCTAATTGCACTATCATTTATAGGCTTCGTAGAGCCGTCAGAGGTATTTAAAAACTAAACATTTGCTAACCAATCGCTCTTAAGATCCGTTTTAGAAAACTACTTTGCACCATTTAAGAAAACCAAAATCTTTCAAAGTTCAGACACAATTTACACTACGATTCCCTTACAAAACACTATAGAACCAACAAGTTAACTATGAAAATACATCAAACTTCACTTCTAACATAATTTCTATCATTAATGCACTATAAAAGTCTAAAAATTAACCTTTAAATATCAAGATTTAGTCATAAAAATAACATTCTAACTACTTAACAATTCACAACCTCTGCCAACTTCCACCTTATTTTCTGTTTTCCTCACTAAATTTTCCTAATGTGACTTTCATTTACCCTTTCATGTCACGTCATAAAATTCCAAAGTTTCAAATTCATAACAAATAGTTCAAATTTCAAAAATAAACTCTTATGATATTTTCCATGAACAGAAATCCAAAAATTAAAACATGAAAATTATATCGGACATAAATCCGATCGGTTCCGGAATCCGAAAAAAAATCCGGATTTTATAAAGATCACAGTAATTGCTATATCGCTTATCAAAAAATTGTAAATGACTATTACGACTACTTTTCAGACATTAGTATCGCTGAGTATTGACAGTTGATGTTTTAGCGACAGACTGTACGCTAACTGTACGATTATAGACTACATTACAGTACTTTACTGTCATGTTATAAATCCCTTTTCTCTAAGGATAGGGTTTTGTTACTAAGTCAAATTCCTTTACAATTTGAATAGACGATCAAACGTCCTTTCTTTAGATTAGGCAATTGCTCTAGGGCTATTTCTATAGTAATGTATATATAATACCTTGTAAAATAATGAAGAAGAAGAGATGGCGACATGATGATTTGGCAGGGTAAAACTTAAAGACACTATCACTTTCTAGGTATTTTCTAAAGTAAAATAATACTAGTTACATACTAAAAGCTATAAAGGGCTCTACTTTTAGTCCTTTACTACATATAATTTGCATTGCTAAATAATATTATACTGAACACCCTTAAAAATTTTAAATACTAAATGGTATAATCTAGTCCCAAAATCTGAAAATTTCCTATTTGGGCATAATCAACCCAGATATATAACCGACCATCTTGCAAAAGGCAAAGCTGAAACATATGGATTATATACGAAATGATCATTGGTTTATACAAGATCGAAATTTGCTAGTAGAAATGTTGCATACGAAAAGTATGTGTTTTAGATCTATAAAATCGTTCTAGTCTATTGATGTACCCATTAAAATATTTTTAACTTCGAACTATCTTATCAAGCATCTTTAATATGTTAAGCGAAAATTATGATTTTATATTCCATTGATCACATTTAAGCAATACACAGTTTGTATCTACGAATCAGCGTAATATTTATTAGCTAAATTTCACAGTTGATGATAATCGGTAAGATAAATTTCATTGTAAGTTACGGAAAAAAATTAAAAACTACTGCTACAATTAGATGAGATCTTTACAGCTAGTTTTATACTTGATTAGAAGGTACCTTCCTCCATCATGGCTTTCGTGATCTTGAAATGGTTGTTACGCATTTGTGAAGCTCTCCAGATATCTGATAGTCGTCTGAAGACAGCTTTATTTCTACTTATTTATCTACTAAAAGCGCTTACTGACTATTAATTAAATTTTATTTATTCTAGTCTAATCTCAACTGAACTGACATGCTTGTGTTTAATAATCTAGACAAATATTCGGTCATATGAATAGGAATGCTTATGAGTGCTAATTATATTCTTTTTACGAGCCTATTACAATCTCAAGATTTTCAAAGTTTCTTGCATTGTATACGAAATATTAATATTTGATTTTGATATTTTTTACCAAACATTAGAAACTTTATCAACATGCTGCAGTTAAAGCGTTCATTATTATTCCGGTACTAGACATAAATTATATTTCGCACCCTTTTTACCGTAAATACCGTGTACAGGTTCGGTAATTTCAGCAACTATCATCTAGAAATTTTAACTGATTTAGGTAATAACATGTTTTTATAAAATGTACTGGCTATTTAAAGTAAAGCACTATGACGTAGAATAGTTGCTATGCTTAATAAAGTAATATTAGATAATTGCTGTTATGATAAATCGATATACTTTGATGGCTCAAATTTTAAGTTTCCAAATTGTGAAGCTATCGAGATTAAGAACATATTCACTACAACAGTATATTATACAATTCGCTTTAGCCGTATTGGCTAAAATATTCCAGTAATTATTCAGGGTTTCATAGATACAGTAAATGGCTCATGAATACTTCTGTTATAAGTTTATTAATTATAATGAAAGTGCTACTAGATGAAATTCCTGAGCCAGGAACTTGAAATCTTCTTACTGTAAGGTACTTTGCAACTGGCATTTATTAGACTATACTGTATCCCTTCATTATAAGTCTAATTTGCTTGAATTGGAAGTTTAAACTTGTTGCTCGTAAACGCATATATTTTCTAACTGTAATCCTTTACATTTAAATAGTTATGAAATTGGCACTAACCAAACACCATATGATTCATGTACTATCTGCAACAGAATGACAACATTAACGTTGAATATCATGGAAAATCACTATCAGGATTCTCCCTACGGTCTCTTTAGAAACTTTAGCCAAAGCCTTCACAGAAATCTGAACAGTCTTGCAGTTGAATTGATAAATACATTTATAGAGAAGTAACGTTAAGTCACTTTAACGCTAACACTGAGATTGCTAAAGAGTAATAATCAAATGAGCATATCATGATAAGATCAATCAGTAGGTGCGATGTGTTGCATATTACTATGTAGAGTTAATGCTAACAACCGTATTGAAAGCTCGTGCTACTCTCAATTAGTGTGGAGACAAGGATTTGAACACGAAGTTGAAGTTATTGTAAAACTAACTACTAACTTTAACTCTCTCTTTGTATTAAAAGAATTGTGGCTTATATACCTGGGCCGTTCACACTTATAAAGCAATGTGATCGCAAGTTTGTGTAACAGTAGATTCACTAGTGCACGCAGCACAATCCATGATTAACACTTAGAATTAATAAGTGCAAAATATCACATTTGTATAATACTATAAATAATTAATAAATGTGTTAATGCTATATATAGAAATATATCGTATTAAATGTATAATTTAATAAATATAGCGTAGCATCGTAGATAATACGATGTATTTAGTATTACTGATTTGAACTATAAAATTGAATCTGATTCAATATCAGTATCCTTTTATACGATATGTTTCAACTACTGCACTTTTAGGACGATAAAAAATGTAATAATTATTAAACCGGTAAAAAATATTCAGTATCATTGATGAAGTTAACATTGCCAATATAGCTAATTTTGATAATTAAAAATTGGCTACACTTGCTTATTCTTAAATTAGTAAGAAGTGATGAAAAACTTATTCTTGGCCAATCAGATTATTAAATGTTCGATGTTCAAGATATTAACAGAAAAAAACTGTACAATGTGACGTATTCGATAGATAAATTGTCATTATAAAGCTTGATGCTGATTTTATTTAAGAAATTACAACCGATATTGTCTTTGCAGAAATTAACTGGCTTCTCGTGTAGCCTCATCAGCACAAGGCCATGAAAAACATCATGTCAATAGGTTGTTAACCATTCGTATAACTGGTCTATTAGCTGTGCACGTGTCGCTGTTGTGGTATTCCGCAGGGAATATGAATAAATACACAAATGAAGCGGAGGACTAGTAGTGAGTCAAAGTCTTGAAATTTTATTGCCAGATCATACGTCAGATAGAGCATATTGAAATTCTTTAGTTGACTTGACTGGTGCAATCTACATTAAAGTTTATCATCAAAAGTTTAAATTTAATTGTAGGAAAAATAATTGTTACTACTTTATCTAAATCTTTAAGGTTAATATGAAATATCCTGACAAAGAATGTATTGACTACGAATAAATCTGCGAGGATTCACTTAAATGGTTCAATCTAAGTGCTAAATAGACGAAATATATTTACAGATTACAACATATTCCTGCAATAAATAAGGCTATTGATCTTAAGATTAAGTTCACGGAACGTAAACACCGTTTACTATAATGTGCGAGTACGACTGTAATTTTAACTCCTATTCAACAGGTTTACCAAAACGCTCCGCAGCTTCGCCACACCCAAAAATTTAAATATTATGATAAATTATTGAGTCTACGGATGAATCATAGGAATGATTGCAGTTGTAGCATTGGCCGTGACCAATCTTTAAGGACAAAATCATTCTTAGGAATGGCCGTAACATATATGCTACTGTAAGGCAAGTGTACGAGTACACTGATAATAGCGATCTTGGCCTAGACTGTAACTTGATTATTGAGGGAGAGAAGAAGGATCTGTGAAAGTGGGCGATTAGTTGTTTTCTAGCAGAATTTTAATAGAATTCGTAGAATTTACGATGCATATTTTTTAACATTATGGTAATGGCTAAATTTTTGTAAAGGAATACATGTAGTGGGTATAAAAATGCATCTATTTCGCTTAAAGTTCAAACTAGTGAAAGTAGCATAATATAAAATTATGCTACTTTGAAATAACGTACAATAATTCGAACTGTAAGATTAAACGCTTATAAAACTGTTATACGTAACTGCCAAAAATTAATCATCCTTTCTTCATACTGTTTTATACACGTACAGAATAATTTAATTGCATTGTATGATATGCAAATGAGCGGCTCAATAAAGTACATAAAAACTACCCGTTTGTTACTTAGGCCAATAAAAGAGAGGAAAATAATGAAGAAGATGATTTGAACGTAAAACTATGGCGGCCTCTTGGGATTACTTTTCAATTGTATGATGTAACCGTGGCCAATCTTACAACCACGAAAACGGCAATCCATCAAGATTAAGCAACCTATTCTAGCAATTTCGCCGTTGGAGTCGTGTTTGAGTCAAGCTAAAGACCATACTTATTGCATCCTTACTTCATGATTTATGTTTCTGAAGATGAATTAATGTCATTGCCTTAAGTAAACTTACGACCTTTAACTAAAGAATATTTATTCAGAGGTTATTCAGAGGTTATCTCCAAGAATAGTTGTACGAATTTAGGTAGCATTAATTCCTTTACAGAACGAAAATTAAATTTATTCTTCGCTTTTTGTACTGTAGTTTAGAATTTTATTAAAGATAAACTTAGATAATCGATTAATTATGGATTTTTCAGGGCAATTTAGCGATATCTACTGTATCGATAGATTATAGAAATTAAAATATAGATATACTAATGGAATTTTCTATCCTAAATTCATCACTATGTTAACTATATCTAGAATCTGTACTGCACGACATCTCTCTGATGCAAGCCGACGTATCTGCTCTAGTACGAATTTTTCTGGTGCAAAATTCTACAGTTTTTAAATTTATTCTAAGCACTTTGATTGACGGAACGAAAAATTTTCCTCTTTAAAGTCAATGAACAGACGGTATTTGCACTGGGATACTCATGTAAGTAAATGTTTTCGTAAATTGTATTTGATTTAAACCCGCTAATCACTGTTATTACATTAAGATAAACTTTTTATAGTCGCTGGGCAACAATTATATAGTAATCTTACTTCCGAACGATATCATATGTTGTGATATTAGCTAGTTCAGACTGTAAAATTAATGTCTGTTTACTTGCTTGCTGTGTACATCTTTACCAATCTGTATAAAGTTATACTGATTTCGGTTATGATATTTAATAGTAAGAATCAAGTTATAAAGCTGGTCTTGTATGTGAATTTATAAGAGATAGGATACCATGACTACCTTTTATTCCACTTTTAGCAGTAAATAATTACTTTTAGTCTTGGTTTAAATACGATACTTCTACTGATTTAATTAATATACCTAAGAAAGGTATCGCATAAGCAATCTAAATTATTCTATTTTTCTTTATTTGAAAACGTTCCGATTTAATTAATACCGTGTCTCATAGCATCATTTATTTTAACATAAATATATATTTACGACTTTTCTACTAATTGGATAAGACGAAAATAAATTAGTTATCATTCTAAACTCTAACATTCGAAAATGTAGTTATTCCCAGTCAGTCTATCAGAAGATCTTTCCCCTTAGCAATCAAGTACTATAAAATTATAGAGACCGATATATTTAAGGTCATCTTTATAGGCAAATTAATGGTTTCTGAATGATAATTACTCTTCCAATGAACCGATTTCTTCTCATGAAAATAATTAATTCAAGGGAAGTAGAATGTGCGCCCGTTACCTTATTCAACGCTCATTTTCCTATAGGGATATTGCATAGTAATTGCGTTTAAGATTTATAGCTTCTACATTCGACTTACAGCTGCTATGCTTTAATCACTTCTTCTACGTACGATATTTCGATGTATATAACTCTTTAACATTAGATTAACACTACTTGTATAATAAACTGCGTTACCTGTTTATTCAGTTCAGTAGACTATGAACTATAAGAAAAGAGAAAATATTTCCGAAACTAGAATGAAAGCTATTTTGACTACACTAATTCTGGTTATTGGTCTATTTCATGAATGTTCCTCACTCGCTCTAATAGACAATAAACTTCCCCATCATATTTCCTCAACTTACGATCTTATGATTAATGGTTTAGAAAGTCTACTCCAGTTCTATAAAAGAAATTTCAAGGAAATAACTGTAGACGGATATATTGGACTACTGAAAGCTAAGGGTAAGTCATTGTGCTACGGTTTCACTACAGAATTGTGTAGAGCTTTCCTTAAAGAAAAAATGACTAATTAAATTCGAAATAACGAATAAAAATACACGTATACCTGTATCATGCAAATTAGAGATGGAAATCGAACAGCTACTCTAGCCTGTAGCTAAGAAATAGTTTATTTCATAAAACCGCTGCAAAACTACCTATAATAGAGCATTTACTATCCAAGTTCTTTAATATTGACGTTGAATAACTTCGAATATTCTGAACCGTAATCACAATCCATTATAGATAACTGAAAATCTACCCTTGAGTCTTTTGTAAAAAATAAGTTGCACTAGTTTACATCACATCTCATTGATCTAGAATTAATCCTAATGTAAAAAATCAAGGAATGATGGTATCAAGTATTGCAATTAATGCCTTTTAAATCTAGTGTTAGTAATATTGGCCTTTGACTTACTAGAAAGACTCAATTGAAGATTAATGAAGAAAGCTAGCTAAAATTGAAATGAAAAAGAATTACTTGCGCAACAAACTTTACCCTAACGTATTGAAAATATTCATTAGAGCCTTTGGAGTGTCTAAGATTAGGGTCAAGTGACCCGCACTTTTATAGCAAGCAGTAGCAATGTTCAAAATTGTTTGTAAATATTTGAAATCTAATTTTAATTTGATTTTATCTAAGCGTTTTCAAATCTTACGTAACTTATGTAAAATATTAAATTTAATAAAATTAATTCGCGTCAGCTAGTAACCAATTATAGCTTGGTGATGATACCAAAATCAGTAAATAAATTCATTCTTTTATCTCATATCAAGATAAAGAAGCTAATATTTTATTAATTATCAGTTATATATCCTACCAAAATTACATTTACAAGTTGAAAATGAAGTAAACTTTAGTTTCTAATTCTAAAACTGACTTGGAATAGCTTAAAACATTTAATATTTATTTCTTAATAAAGAATATTTAGGAGCAACGGTTGAGAATATTGACAAAGGTTTATCCCCATTAAGTACTCAGCAAGCTAATCAAGTAAAGCAAATTTTCGAAAACTGTAGCGTGTTGCTAATTCATATAGAGGCAGTCTTGGTCAATAGTAGTTCTTCCAAGCAGTATGATTTATTTAAAATGGTCCATACTCCGCATCCAATCCCGAATCAGTTGATTAGTCTAAGACTTTCGAATGTACACTCCGGTGCCTTAGATAAGGATTCAACGGCCGGCGTTAAATTTGCTAATATTTCCGATATGTGCCTAATGGACATAATCGGCACGAGAAAGCGTCACCAACCTGCGTGTACATTTAGCGGTAAATAACTTAAGGAAACCTGTTACTGTCTCAGTTCGAGTAGATTTATAAGTAGTTTTAACAAGAGGATAGCGTAAATTGATCCGTTTAATGCTATTGATATAAGATGATGATTATAACAAGATATTGAAGTGCATAACTAAGTTGCCGTCCAGGTAATTTTTAGATTTTTATTTTTGTCTAGATATCTGCTGGAAAGGTATTACAAACTATCATGCGAGGAACTTTGATATCATTCATCAGTTATTCGCCATATTTGTTGGTCAAAAGTTGAATTGTACGAACAAAATGAACGTGCTTGCCCAAAAATTAGGAGGAATAGAAAATGTAAAAGCTGCGTTATGCAGCCGAATTTATCGTCAAATGTATACTAACCTCAATAATGCACTTAACAAGATGCAATCTTGGGAACTATTCTTAGCACAAATTTACATATGTGGCGGTCCTGCTGGCTTTCAAAAGTTTGTTGATGCTCAGTTTCTATCAGCCATTCTACATTGGCAAAGCAATACAGGATGTCTTAAGTCAAGTCATAGCATTTTTAGCAGTTTAGGTTCTGAATTACTTCCACAGTAAGTAGTATTGCTCAATTAGTTAAGAAATTAAATTCATATTGCATGTGACACAGAAAATAATCAGAAATATCGGTCAGATTATGTAGCTGCTTCTCAATTTAGTTATATTATTTAACTTTTAAATTCGTTCATTAATTGGTAGAAATACACTCGTTACATCATCAGACCATCCTATAGGTGGGATAGATAAAGGTAAGCTTAACGTTTTAGCCTATTTGTATTGGAGAAAATGGTAGTTATACGTATATTTTACGATTCGATAGTTTTCTTTAGCTAGACTGCTCCAATATCTTAACACAATCCAATCAATTTTTTGCATTTGGATCAAATTATATATATATAGATATATCTTGTAGTTGATACCGTAATGGAAATCGTTAGTAAGTACTAAAATAGATTTAAGTAACGACAATCGTGCAATATCATCATGCAATCTTAGCAGCATAATATCTGATGAATAAAACTGTATCTTGATTTCTTACCATAACTGTTCCTCACTTCGAAGTTTCTTTGCATTAGCAGCTTCGTAATTTATAATTCGTAACAGTAATAGTCATTTTCTGAGACTGTAGTAGTTTTAAATCATTTACTGTTTTATTGCTTTTAAGCCTGTTATAGTCGTCGTTCTGCTGCAGCTACAAGTGTTCTATCAATGTACTTACATTGGTTCTCCAGTAAAAAAGAAATCTTTATTTTACCAACTCCAACGAATTCTACAGCAGCTAATAGAATGGAATCAAATGAATTTCTTACTATTATTGGACTTATCGCTATTGGCGCAGCTCTTATTGCTGCCTTTTTATCAATTTCTGTAGTGTATTGTATTTGTCCTCTTGGCCGCAAAGGTCATGAATATCAGAAATTACAATCGAAAGAGCCGAGCAAGAATGCTGACGAATAATAATGAGGCCTATTTTAATTCCCGTGTTGTTCGGATACTAATTTAGGCCAGCATATTTCAGCCAGCGTAAACCAATCTTTTGACGATTTTAAAGCCACTATAGTCTAAGTCATTGGCAATATCGCTGTGCCATATAATTTCGAGTCATTAGAAATCATACTGATTATAGCGTCGATACTTTTATAAACTCATAAATTATTAACTTACGAAGATACATGTTGAAAATTGTTATTATGATGTAATATATGTACATTTACAAACTACAGTAAATTTTCTCTTCATACTTTGGTAAAACAAAATAAAACCTCAGCTTAAGCGATAAGATCAATTTCCTTTCTGAACGTATAGATAACCTAAGATGAAGCAAATCTATTCAATAAAAGTTGCAGACATTTTCGTAACCATATGCATGGAATGTATCGCGTTTGGCATTTGATAATTAAAATTCAAGAACATCAATAGGCTGTTATCTTCTAGATAATTAGCTATATAAGTCAACATTGTTCAGACATAATGTTAGTGAAAGAAGTCTTTTCTATCACTTTCGAAGGCTTCTGATACTCTTTAACTAATATTCTTAATTATCTGATTAGATTCACAGGACGCAGTGACTACATTCGATATGGATATGAAAGTTTGATATCATCTACAATGACCAATTTTAGAAGCAGTTAGTTGCTATTGGCTAAATTAACTATGTAATATGGAACAAATATTGGCAATTTTTTATATCAATTTCTAATAAATGACAGATTAAGCCGATCGATAAATTACCGTACTTACTGACACCTAGTAAAGTGAAATTCAACGTTCCGCGGTCAATATCTGAAAAATATAGGCTTTAAACTTCAAAATCGTACCGCATATTCCAACACCTTAAAAATCACTCAAACTTTAAGAGAAAACTAGGTTATACTAAGTATTCATCAAATTCACCTTAAAAAGTAACTGCCATTGACACTGTTAATGAATCAAGTCGTATTTTGCGAAATTAGGCTAGTTATATATATATACAATTGATAGCGAAGGTGTCCTCTGATTTTAAGTTATATTTTTTCTTCAGCAAATTAATCATTCCTAGCCATCTTTCTGTGTACCTAGCTAAATAAAGTAAGTCTAGTCTCACCTCAAATGTAACAAAAATCTTAATTAGCTGTTGTCTATATAAAATTAAATGAATTTAACCATGAAGAAGCTGAAAATCCGCTGCTTTGCCCTTATGTTTTTACCAATTACCACAAATAGACTATAATAATCTATATAAGCACCATTGAGTTATCACATCACAGTCGTGATGATATATTGGAATGACTCAAAATTCTTTCGTTTATGAATGTTGAGCTCCGTTTGTAGCTATTTGATGCTCAAAGTATGAAAATAGCATCAAATAATTATTTATGGTATATATACCAGCTTAGATGTAAATTTATTTAACATCAAAGAAATAGACTTGTTGATTATTCAATTATTAAAATATACGACGTTAACCACATTTAAAAGAACTCTATTCCCTTGTAACGATCAAAGGTATCCTTTTTATCTAGAATATACCTGAAAAAATTTAGGAATCTATTATACGTAATACTTGTTTATAGTTTATTTTCATTCATATGATTGTATTTGCGTTTAAATTTCTTTTAATAGTACCCAAAAAATTGCTAACTGGCTGTTACGGAGCTAGATTCTCCTTGCGTATAACTAGTAGCAATTTGTGATTGTACCTATCGTTTGACTCGATTACTATAGTATAGAAATAAGTTAGTTTTCCCTTACTGAGGATCTCCGGAGTTAGTCGGAGAACCATAAGTGTAGATAGAGTAGTTTAGGTACGATCACGAAAGCTGTTTTGTGACACTGGCTCGTAAGGCTTTGCTAACATCCATTGATCTATAAATTCGGACCATCCGCATACTAACTTTGACTGGAGCCACGCAAGTTAAGGGAGATCTGGTTCTATTTATTATTTTTTCTTCCTAGTTGAAGAATTTTACGTTCTGCATTTAATGTCGCGAAATTTATGAAATTTCGTGCGTAGAGGATGTTGGTAAATGATTGCAATAATAAATTTTTTAAAACAATCGCCGATCATTTTGAACTAATTATACGATAGAATCCTTACTAATGGTCAGATTCGTTCCAATATGATCTCAATGAAAATAAACAATAATGTTTTGCGGTTAGGAATAAGTCTGAACACGGACCAAGAATTGGACCCACAATTTGGCTATATTATCGTAGCCTACTGTATCAAAATCTTCTCTAGGTAGCATGAAATATTATAGCACAAGAGCTATATATTCGATATCATGTCATTGCTACCTCTTATTCCAAAGGGTGTGTCTAAATCTTAATTTTTATTTAAACCTGCTCATTCTCTGTCTGGTAATATAGATTCGGTAAAGTTATCAAGATGATGGCACTGACAAGAAATCTCCTTATTATCACTTTACTGTTATTCTATCAGCTTACATGGAGCCATATTCGGGGAGAAAGTGCGGGCAAACAAGAGCTAGTTGGCCCTTGTCCAAGATATTGTTCATGTCGAAATACGGATGTTGTTTGCACTGAGGTTGACGAAGTCATCTCTGTCATACCAGAAGGCACAAAACGCCTGTAAGTGATCATTAAATATAGTTATACTACATAAAGCATTGACAATTTTGCTTAGATTTTTGAGCTATTAGACAGTTAGTATCCTATGTTGACTATCATGATGTGCTTCATTTAATAAAAACTAGCATGACTTTTCCGACCTGAAGCCATTTCTGAAACAATCTTAATTACATATAGTTAGTAATAATGCATAAAATTTATGTTAGTATACTTTCTTTGATCTGTGATCGTATCTTTTGAGTTCAAGAAAATGTCGTTAAAATTCGAAAATTAGAGTAAAATTGCCTAATTTAACCCTACATCATAAAATTAAATCAGTCACTCAAATATTTTATCTGGCACTAGTATCGATTTAAGAAATCATTAATTTTTGTTCATGTTTTGATGAATTACGAGATGAATATTAGCACTCAGTCCGTTAAGAATCTACAGGACTATGATTATGTTTTCTGCTATACGTTCGTGATTAGTCTACTGAAGGCCTACTTAAGATTATTACAGCTATCGCAATATGTTTAAAATTTTTTCTTTGCTCTCGGCAGTGCAATTCAAATCATCGATCTTCTAATTTCACATCTTGTAACAAAAGTTCATTTTAAAAAATATCATATAGAATTAGTAATTGAACTGACCAATGTACTTTTTGAAACTATTAACAGAGTTTTTTTTCAAGAACTCTCTTGTGAAGATACTCGAATTGTTAATTTAGTCAACCTAGCCAGGAAAATGCAAATTGAAATTATTGGTCGATGTCATCGGGTCGATACATTGCAAATTGTTCCTGTACAGTATTTTATTGATTCACAATCCGAAAAAGTCTTAAGGAATCAAGGTAGTTTTAATCAACTGGATTAAATGTACGGTATAGAATAGCTATAAACCATTTAATTGAATAAGTTTTAGTCGATTCTTTGCGTATAATAGAGCCATTTTCTACTCTAACGACTATAATGAAGTAGATGATAAGCTCTTAATTTAAATATGTGTTAAAAACTTTATCAATCTTTCAGCATTAGGTAGGAATCGGCGAGAAATCTTGGTTCAATCACGGTACCAGATCTCACTAGTGAATGGTCAGTCTAGCAGAGAAGGTATAGTTCTTATTAAAGATATTAAACTGGATCAAGAAGGGACAATTTGTGCTGATCAGTGGACAAATGATGATGCAGACGTTATTTGTCGTCAACTTGGCTATATTAGTGCAAATTTCAGTTCAGGTATGTCAATAACCATAAGATTGATTGCATAATCCTTTATGAATTTTAACAAGTTTATATGCGGAAAATAGAAGTTCTATTTTTACTTCTTGCCTATTTGGATGTTATAATTATTTCAAGATTTGGCGCATGTATCCTCAGGCAATAATTACAAAGCTCTAATCACAAACCTTGGATGCTCGGTCTTTCAGAGTGTTATTGATCACTGCAATATATCTACCGTGAAACCTGCTCAACCATGTTGGAAATCTTCAGGAGCTGCTAGAGTTAGATGCAGAGCTGATAATCCTAATAAACAATGTAATTATTTTGCCTAGTAATCGATAATATTGTCCTTTTACTTTTAATTCGACAAGGTGATTTCTTCGCTTTGTTCTTTGTATTGAGAATGCCATTTTCAACTCCGTTTAGTAATTGGAAATTCCCCAATTAATTGCCAGTTTAATGAAGGATTTTGTGGTTGGACTCGTAATGGCAATTGGTATTGGTTATGGCGCGGCTACACAGTATCAGAAGATGGTAAACCACTTTGTAAGTCAAATTATTGAGAGCATTTACAAGAAGAGAGATTCGATATTTTATAATATTTAAAAGTTCTCGACAATATTCAAACGTGACTGTTCGCTTAGTTTGAATATTCAACATTTTATAGATGATCCTTTTATTTTTATCTACAAAAATATGGACGAGAACCCTGCATTACATGGGACTTTTGTAAGTCCTGTATTAAAACAAGCACACGCAGGAAAGCCAGTTTATGTAAGTTGAAATGATTACCTAATTTTAAATTTAGTTTATTTTAGAATCTAATTCAATCATTAAATTCAACATTGCAGTAAAATTGAGGGTAAAATCTATAACATTTATTCGATAAAGGTTTAAATATTACTTAAATTGCAATTTATCGTAATCTTGTTTAGATCACTTTCCGAGCGTTAAAATATGGCATAGCAATTGGTCAGATTGAATTTCGGTTTCGGCGCGTACAGGAAGGCAGTTCAACAGAGCTTTTAACGCCTATCTCTAGATCTAACAGTACTTGGCAAAATTTTGAAACAGAGAAATTCGAAACGGATACATACTTCAAAGTAAGATATAGGCAGCAGCCATGCCAGCAACATTATAGCTATGTGTATATCAATCTTTAAATCAAGCTAAATCGATATATTTGGCAAATACAACGTATGCAGGTGCTTAATCGAAATGGACTTAATAGGCAACATGATAGCTAATTCCTTTAATCGATACTGACAAATAGTAATTGCTTTCAAATCATCGAATCGTAACTTTCTGTAGTTGCCATATTTCGAGACTTTGCATTCTGTAGTCAACTTATCAAAATTCTTCGTTCTAACATATTGGCTTTAATTCGATATAGCGAGCAAAATAAATTCTCACAAATATACAGAAAGCTGTAGTATACATTTTATTTAGCTCCTTTAATGATATTCTTTGAAAGATTTAAAGTTATAAGGAAGTCACACTATGCTGATAATATATGGAAAATAATATTCCTTAAACGATATTTAATCACTAACTATGCCAAGAAATTTTATTATGTCTACTTGAATATTGATAATTAAATCAAGCTAGATTGCTATCACAGAAAAATACAGCTTATCTAAGAGCGTATACAATAATTACCTAATAGGCATTGTCATGATTAAATCCTTAGTATGCACTCGTATATCTTCAATCGCTTTTAAAATCAACTAATTATAAGTTACTGCTGTTGTCATCCTTCGAGACTTCGTATTCTGGAATTGACCGATCAGAATTCTTATTCTAATACATTTGCATTAATTTAATATAGTGAGCGGAATAAATTCTCACAAAAGTAAAGAAAGCTGTATTATACGTTTAATTAAGCTCTCTTAAATAATATTCTTGTAAGAATTTGAATCTATCATGGTGTGTAATTTTACTGATATTTTATGAGAAATAATGCACTTTTAACAATATTTAATGTCATTCAAAATTATAGATTGAAATTTATTCTGTTGCAAGTATATCTAAATCCGACTTTGGGCTAGTCGCTCTAGATAATTTAGTAGTACATGGAGCTAATATAGTACCAGGTAAATAATTTGGCTGGTCTGCTGTAACAGCTTATTAAAACTACAGACCGTACCTATCTAAAGTTTTTTATAATTATATTTACGACTGATACTTATCGAGATAAATTGTGAAGCACCAAATATAGTTCTAAGGACAGTAAAATTGGATAATTTATATCTAACATTTTTGTTATAAGTAGACTTGTTCATCTTCAATACAAGGTGAATAATTTTCCTTTCTTGTATTTTATTCATCTTATTCAGACAGTACATCCACTTCTACCTTGACCATAGTATTGGCTACTGCTGCTTCTTGCATTATTTGTGTGATTATATTGTACTTTGGCTATCGCCTATATCGAAAAAAGACAGCAAAACCGCCAATTCCTTTCTTTACAATTACCAGATTAAGTAGACGAAAGCGAAGCACAAAAACTTTTCCCACGCAATGCAGTCAATCAACTACAACAGATACAACTCGTAAAGAAGGTTAAATAATGTAATTATTGTCAGATTAAATTACTTGTATCATAAATAGTAGAATTAAAATGAAATACTCAGAGAGTGACAGATTTTCTAAATCGCTTGTTTAAGGATCTACCGTTGTGCCACCAAGTTATGATACAGCTTTGGGATCAAGTTAAAAGAAATTAATGATGAAGTCAGAGGAAGAATGAGAAACTATAATCGTTTAGATGCTTTTCCTGTGCAATATATTACATTTATATAATGAAATAGTCAATGGAAATATAGCATAAATTAGACATTGATATTTTCAAGTTGTAATTGTTAAATATCGTACTTTATGTGTAACCCTACAAAATGATATCTTACGTTTACAGTAAATAAAGACTACGTAATATCAAGGCAACATGCAATATAGTATGTATAATTACCAGAGATATCATGAATAAATACAACTACAATATCTTCTTGCCGTATTTTTTTAGACTACAAACTTAGCTATGTCGAACAGTTATAGAAGCTCATCAATGAATAGTTCTAAGCTATTACCATTGATTTAGACTACTATTTTAATGTTGGTTAAAAGGGCCTATTTCCATTACTTTTTTAGGATAATGATGAAATCCACCTAGGGTAAATGCAAATCACAAATATTTTATTTAGTTTTCGTTACCAAGACACTATTTCTTACCATCTATTTTAATTATTACGGTGGGCACAGAGATATTGTCCATAATCGAATAATCAAATATGCTAATGTGTAGGATGGTCGAGGCTAAGAAAAGCAAGTAAAAATAATGTTCCTATCAAAATGTGCCATCGAAATCGATACTTAAGGGTATGAATAAGGTATTTCGTGAAAATCAGAACCATTATATATACGATCGTAATTAGTCTAGTATCAATCCGTAAAGTACTTTGTCGTCAGTAGTTGTAATTTAACTGCGAATAATTTTATAGAGGGAAATCTTAACCCTCGAAGATAGAGGTAACATGTGCTGTCGCGATGAGTAACAGAAATTAAGCAAACGATATGAACGTTCTGTCGAAGTAAGATTTTACTGGTTTCTAATCGTACAAAACTACTGAACAGGCTCACAGGAAAAGCAAATGATGATTTCTAGCTGCTCGCATTCTCAGTGCAAGGGTTTTAGATTTGCTATTGGATCAGATAGTACTATTAAGCACCACTACTTTTGCAGTGATGCAACGCATATTTGATGATAAGGATTAAAGACGCTTTTATTACAATCTTATGGACTACAGATCCATTGCAATCACGGATTTCTAAGCATGAATAACATACTGTTTCTATCATCTCGAATTTTATTTACTTTGCTTAATTACTAACTGGCGGGTTCAGGTTAGCCAATCTATCAGTCCATTGCAATATAATATTTGATTACTCTAAAAAAGTTGTAATTACGCTAGCAAACTAAATTTAAGTTGGTTGCAACAAATAATATTAGCAGTTAGAGGTGTAAGCCGTAAGTTTCCTTATTCAGTTTCACTGCAGATCATCGTTACTTAATTCTGAACTGAATATTATGTCCTTATTATTCAATTTGTGTAGTTTGTCAGTATTTCTAATAATTTGTTTTACTTAAGCTAGTTCCGCAAATGTGGTTTCAACGTTTGCCTGTCCAAAATCTAGTTCAAGCAATAATAACGAAATTCAAAATGCAAATGTCTTGCGCACTTAATAGGTTTCCTGTGCCGGCAGATACTAAACGCAGGTAAGAGAATATTGCTATTACTGTCGTGATCATTAGGAAACCTTGCAATGAAATAATAACTAAATCTTTGCATTTATAAATATTCCTTTACTGAGTTAAATGTATCGTTTTATTAAAAAAAAATAAATGATACTCGAGATTTTAAAATTATAGTATGCTAATGGTAATTATGTAATTTTGAGTCGCTCTTAAGTCCCTCAAGATTGACTTTATTTCTAGCCATTATCCTAAGTTAGTAACTATTGTGGGACTCTTGGATTATTCTTATGAAACGTAACGGCTTGCAACTATTAAGTGCCATAAATCAAGATGAATAAAGGTCCATCTTTGCGTTATAATAAGCAAAAATCATCGAAACACTCCTTCAACAAATACAATCTAGATAGGCAGCACAACATAATGTTAAGTTAAAGAATGTTCTGATAGTAAATAAATTAGCAGCGATGTATAACAAATATTCGCAACTATCTAAGTGGAAATGAATCAAAATATGCACAGACCAAAATTGAAATAGAATAAGTGTAATAAATACCATTATTTAGAATTTATTAAGTTTATTTCAGAATATATGACAATAAAGTTCTGCAATGATATCAGTCATCGCTCTGTGTATCAGACAAATGTTACTTTCTTTAGCTCGTTTATTTAATTATTTTAAGCTAGCGAACATTATCAAAAAGCCCAAAAGTGTGCTTTGAAGTACTCGATTGCAGAATTATATTGGAAACTATCGGTACCGGTATTGCTGTTTTACAGGAATTATTGCTATGTAGTTTAGCAATTAAAATATTTTTGGGGAATCTGTGAGTAATGATCACTTGAACTAGCATAGCGATCATAATAATCTGATATAAAAAGGCCAGTAAAAGCACTTAAAGCACTCAACGTTCAATTTTTGAATAGCAGAATGTAGTAGTTTCAGCTAATTGCAGTAGTAATTGAAGTATGGTGCAGCATTAAGAATTAGGGTAGCCTACTACGCTTATAAGGTAATTTTATGATCAATTATGATGAAAACGGTGTACTTACTTATACTATTCATACTATGTGTATATGGCTGTAGTAGACAGCTATAAAAAGTGATGTTTTAAAGTAATGTCTTTATATAACTGTTAGATAATATGGAATTGTGATCGTGGAGACGAAGTCGATCATCCGGTTTAACTTAGCTACTTTCGACTATTATTATAAGGGAAGAAAAGCAGATTCTTCCCTTGTCAAGCTTTCTATTAATAAACGATACTTTTAAGGTTAAACACTGTCTTCACCTGATCTTGTATCATGTTAGAATTTTGCTCAATTTTAATAACTCAGATTTTGAGTTAGACGATTGCGAACCTAAAGGGTTGTAAAACCCAAGCATTAAATAGAAATAAAACTTTGTACCAAATGAAGTTATATATAGTCACAATAGATGCGAAATTTATTGACGGACGCTAAACAATTATTAAGAGTCGAAAAATTACGCTCGCTTTGGTACTTAAATAATCCAGATTATTTTCAACCAATATTTTGACAAATTGCAAACACTATATCTAAAATCAAAACAAACATTTTCATTGAAGAATTAAATTTCAGAATCATGGGCCTTTTGAAAGGTATTTCTGGATCATGAAAAAATATTCTGCCTGTAAATTAGATAGCTCTTAGCATTTCATTGGATAACGATAATTAATCGGATAAGCAACAAATCTAGTTTACCCTTTGTGATAAAAGTCAATCACGAAAATTTCAAAATTGTAGAAAATTAGAACTTTGTTAGATCTAATACAAAGACTAACTACACACAGCTCTGCTCTAGCCGAATACAACTATTGAAGGACTTCTAGAAAGAACGAACTGAATAGTCTAAAGTTGCCAGCTTATATTCATTTCGTAGCAGCCACAGCCACAGCTACAATCAGCATAGCAACATTCTACCTTAATTTACATATAATCAAATTATTATTAGTAACAAAATTTTACAACGGGCCATCATTAATCCGATATGGAAACAATTACGGTATTTCCGCAGATATTATTCTTAGCAGTCAAAGTACAGTAAACTAAGTATATCCGAATATATGAATTATGGTTCTATTTTTATATCTAGCCTCAATAGTAACTCAACACCTTACCGTATATAGTTATCTGTACATTAGCATAGAATCTACCATTACAGTCCATAGTAGCGAGCTACCAAATACGTCTTAAGATAAATATAGAAAGCTACGCTTCCGGACATCTTACTAACGTAGCTAAAGGTCTACAATCACAATACTAAGTTTCGTTACACCCTTATAATAAAGAAGACTCTAACTCAAATTAAAAATTTCAACTGTGATGGAAATACATCCATATTTATGAAAGCTTTCAATTACTGTCAGGTATTGTCAAGATAGCAAATGGATTGTACCATTCAGTGCCTGGTTGCAAGAAATGTCTATATTTATATAGTATCCCTTTTTTACTGAAGTTCAGGCAATTCGAACTTTGTTACCGCCATTTCATACATAAGCAAGTATATATTATTTGCATAATCATCAGCATATCTTGAACAACGTGGTAGAAAAGTTTTAAACATCTGTATAAGGTATTAATATTAAAAAAGTTTAAAGTAACATTTGGCCTGTGGCGTAATTAACATCACAGGCTCTAAAAAAATTATAGCTATGAGTGCACCCGTTCTTTTGGTACAAGATAATATTTATATGGTCACAAAGTAGCAGCATATGTTTTCTTTTTATGTTAATATTCCTAGTAATGGCAAAATAACAAAAGGTTAAATAAATTACTAAAAACATCATACATTAGCCTAAAAGATGAAATGATTTTAATTATTATTCTCTTTTACTTACTACCAGTAGTTATTGTATATTACATTATTAATAATTGAACTTGGCAGTATAACACATTTCTTTTAAAATATTAACGATTTTATTAATTTATAGTAATTAACAGATGGTCTGATGTAAAGTAATTCAGTCTTCGTAATTATATTTTTTAGCTGGAATGACAGTCCATTTTCAATTGACTAGTGCGAAATTTTTACCTCGAAATGACAAAATTAACATGATTTTTATCCTAAAACAACACTGAAATTCATCCCCAACGTCTTTTCAAGCTAAAAATGGCAAAATACCTCAAGATATACCTTATTCTAGCTATTCTGGCCTTTAATCTTGTTGTTCATCTTGTCGTAGGACAAGGATTTATGAAAGAGTTTGGTTCCGCTACTAATACTATGTGTCCTAGAAACTGTATTTGTAACAATCTGAAAGTAACATGTCCAAGACTGGATGATGATCTACAAAATATACCAGCAAATACTAAATCAATGTAAGTAAAAGTAATCTTTAAAATAACCAATGTGTTCAACCAGTGATTCTCGAACGTAAGAAGTGTAAAATCAATTACAATCAGCCAATTATAGCCTCTAGTTACAATGTAGGCTACGGTATTCGATTAACATAAATAAGCAATTTTGTAGTTTAATAATGGTTCTATCTTTTGTAAAGCAAAATTATAAAGCTTTTCCTGTTTTATTTATTCTGGGAATAAGTTGAATATCATTCGCAAAAAGATAAAAGATTTGGACATGATATAATAATTGAATTACTATTGTCAGTTTTGGCGAGCAGTTAGAAAATTAATTATCGTAGACTACCATACCGTTATACTGGAAAAAGCTAATTAATTATTGCATGCCAACAATAAACATTTGATACAGGATATGAAATTTATCTGATTGTCGTATCTGCTATCGACACAGTGTTCCCTGCATTGATAAGATAATATGATATTTTAAAATTTGAGGACTCATCCTTAAATTTAACTAATTGAAGGAATATATCATATATTTTCTACGCTAATGGCGACAAACTGATCATCTGAAAGACTACGAAATAATTAGATATATATATATGATTTTAGATACAGTATGATAGTCCCTTCTTCATGTCAAAGTACTGTATTATCAAGAGATGATTGCCTATGTCAATTGATGCTATCTAATATTAATTTTGACTGAATTTTATTGATCGTACGCTTAGGTAGTACTGGGCAATTTTGTAACTGATATTAATCGTTACTAAATAATTATAAACCCGATTTAGCTAAACCATATCTGCGATAAATATGATTAAAGGTTACAATTACTTATTAAATGAGCCAATTACAAAAATTTTAATCGATGATAATTTTTATATATATTTTGAAAGAATTTTACAACAGGAGCTCGTTTGTGAAGATGTTCGCTTACAACGATTGATTAAGTTTGCCCAAAAAAGTCATATACAGCTAATTGGTAGATGTGTTCGATCAGACATCTCTAAAACATTTCTACTTAAAGATTTAATCAATTTATCTACTAGCAACATAACTGCAAATCTAGGTAAGTCTGATAAATCTCTATCATATATTTCCGATTTGAAAAGTTATCTACGCAATAATACTAGTTCGAGTAGCGTAAACTAGTCATAAGCAGAATTGCCTAGAAACGTTCAAAATTAATGATAACTATGAAATCTGTTTAAATATGGCTTCAGTGTATAATTTCAAGCAATAAAAGCTTCTATTGAATAAATAAAATACTGCCAATACTTGAAAGAAATAGAATTCTAGAGATTATATTTCTATTAAATTTTTTATTAATCGCGGTACCATACAACCAATATTTAAATTGAAAATAGCTAATTAATTTGTTAGAGAAAGTCCAAAAATTTGCTTTGATCAATAAAAGTACGACCATTTATCTTTCACGTTAAATACTATAAATTTATATTGATTACAGCAAGTAATTTGCAGCTAAGAACTAAAAGGGCGAGTTCATTCCACTCAAACTATGGCTTATACTTACATAATGGACTGTCAAAGACAGAAGGAACAGTTATCGTAACGAGAGCTAATTTACTCCTGGAAGGAACGATCTGTGATCGCTACTGGACATTAACAGACGCTGACGTTATTTGTCGTCAGCTTGGTTTCCTAAGTGCAAGTTCAGCAAAAGGTACTAATATTATAAATTATAATTGTAAAATGATATTTACTTCCATGTAAATAGTATAAGCGTTTAGAATTAATGATTATCATAGCCTAGCTCAATTATTTTATAAACTAATGATTAATACTATTACCGATTCTTGTTATATAGGTACTACTAATGGTACTACGTATAAAGCCGCAGTCATCACATCATTGTCGTGTAAAGGTGACGAAGAAATTATTGATCAGTGTAGTTTAACCTGGATTCATCCTTATAGAACATGCTGGCAATCCATGGGTCCTGCAACAGTTAAATGCAAGACTGAAAACCATAATCTCAAGTGTATGTATTGTTTTGACCTTAACAGTTTACACAGATTATTAAGTGATTATAGAATCAAATTAAAACATTACAGGATTCCATTATCATCACCACTAATGATGCATTAATATTTCACTTCAATAATTGTCTAGTTCCAGGCAATTCACCCGTTAATTGCGACTTTAGCTATGGCTTTTGTGGTTGGATGAAAAACGGAAACTGGCTATGGTCTTGGAACGGAGGAAAAGGGCATGGTGGTTATGTAAAGTCAGGTACATTAATGATGCATGTATTGAAATAAATTCGCATTTTTTAAATAATGCAAACTGAATAATCATTACTGATAGATTCATGAAAGTGTTTAGATACCTGGTCTGTATAGATTTGGCTAACAGTAATCTTGAAATTTCGATATTTGCAACGTAATAATGTAGGTAAGCCTTTCATCTTTCTGCACAAGTCACCAAAGGAAGTATATTTACTTCAAGGAACTCTAACAAGTCCAACACTGATAAGCTCATCGAGTGGCAAAAATATCTATGTTTGTTTGCAAGGAATTTTATTTGACACTCTATTAAATAGTTAAAGATATTTTAACTTCCGATTTGTACGCTTATACTACTCGTCGATGCTATTAATAACCTTACATATGACGAACAAAACCTATTTTTTCAGATCTCCTTTTCTGCCTCTAAATCTTACTATTTCCGCAGCATATTAGAGTTTCGGTACCGCTATATAGACGAAAAGGCATATACAAGCATTAGTACCCAATTATCTAAAGTTGGCGGAACATGGGAAACTTATATTTCAACTGGTTTCAAAGCTAAAAAGGAATTTAGGGTAAATAGAACAAAATTTGTCAGATTGACTAGATGTATATTTCTGAATCGATTAGCACCTAATTATTAAAATAGATATATGTTAGCACATACGTATTTAATTACCGCAACTAAAATATTAAATAAACAGATGTAAATTTGTTATCAAAGTACACTAAAAACCGGTAAGAAGCTGGTTTACAAATTAGATAAATCCTAATTATTGGATGTACTCAAACATTTGGTACGACCACACAGTATATTTTATCTCATTCCATATAATAAGATTAGGTTGTGACATTCACGCAAATATAAAAAGTGTTTTTCATCTTAGTTTAATTTATTTAGTTTCGAGTACTACTTTCAGATCTAAATGCTGCTGCAGCTCATACGCTTCTACCAAATTCTGTTAAGTTTGTTCTGCTTCGTTGTTCGACTATAACGATATTCATTTCCGTCGACATGCACTGCTAAGCAGTAACGAGTATCGTAATGTAATATCTGGCGAATATTCAGTAGTCTACCAGGAGTTACCGACAATTGCATGTATCAATATTAGTAAAGTTTCCTGTACTACAGTACTGATAGAAATTTATCTAATTTAATGACAATATTAACGCATAGCTATACATTATTACGATAGACGCATGTATAATTATGAGTTTCGACTAGGTGGCTCTTTTTATCTAAAATAAACTTTACAGTAAATATTTTTTTCTAAATCTATAATGTAGTGCAAGTGTACATTGCGTCGTTATCAACAATGCTGAGTGGTAACTTTCAATGAGCTTACAGCTATAGATTTCTGTGAAGTATTTCGTTAGTAGATGTACCACCCTAACCCTAACCCTAACCCTAACCCTAACCCTAACCCATTGACATCTTTACATTATTACACTACAGGAATTTGTATCCCGATATTATCAGCGGCAACATTGTACAGGTCTTTAAATATTATAAGAACAGATGTACTGTACTACTACGCACTAGCGCTGTAAGATTAGCTATCACAAACCGATCCGAGCTGTATTCGGTTAAAATAGTAAAAGATTGCCGATATTAATGTTCATATGAAGCATATGAAAAGATCATTACTTATACTGATAGTAACAGATAGCTAAATTGCAACGATAAGTTCCTACATATTCAAGCAAAAGATTAACAATAATTACATTAGTTTCCTTATAAAACCAAATATCTTTTATTATCTTTGGGACCCTTGGCTTTTATACTTTTAATAAACAAACTGAATGAATTTCTCAGTTCTTTACAAACTTTAAAGTTGCAACGATCTACTGATGATGTTCATTGAAAGTCTATAAAGATTTCTTTAAATATTAATCTAAGTAAATAGTGAAACGTTTTGAAAATTCTTTGGTAAAGCAGGAATGACTTCGAAAAATACTTTTGCTAACGCGTAATTTTACTCTAACTGTATGTTTAATAAATATAAAATAATAACACCATCTTAAATTAGCATAATTGACTCATTTCTAATATAGGTAGAGATTTATTGCGCAATGCCTAGATATGTGTCTGTGAATTATGGAAGTTTCGGCATGAGTAATTTGCAGGTTCATGGAGCGCAAGTTGCAATTAGTAAGATATTTGTTCTAGCTTTCTGCCTGATCGAAATTCAAAATGAAACTAAGCTTTATAATTCTTATTATGAACAATTTATTTCGTAGAAAACAACAGCGTAAAGCTAATCATAGCCTTATCCCTTCTGAGTATTATTCCTATTACACTGGTTGTCTACTTGCTGTATCGTCGACGCCAGAAATTAAATTCCAGAGCCAACCTAAATTTAGGATCAGATAATCTATCTAATGCAAGGTTCAGGTTTAATCATCCCCGAGGTGGGTATGAAATAGGCTATAATAGATTGCTGTAGGATTGCATGTTAATGTTCAAGTAATGTAAGAAATTGTTTACTACCTTTATAAAATGTCCATTAATCTTTCAATTTCGTTTCAGTGCGGCATTTTAATCTTCCTCCTGACTATAATGAAGTTATATTAATGAGCCAGCAGCAATCTGAAAGCATTTCTACGCAGACTTAATTTAGCAATATAGCAATTCTCAGATTGTTTAAGTTATACTGTAGTTTAAATATGCGTACGGAAAGCAAACCTAGTTCTGCTATTGTGATATGGAAACCACCATACTTTTGGATATTTCTGCAAATAGGCTTACGTAATATTAATAAAATCTAATTATAAGAATTAAATTGTGAGACTATATGAGTGAAATTGGACGGTGTCACAAATTATAGCAAATATTTTCATGATCCATTTGCTTTATTTTGATATTGCTGTCAACGAAAATGATTGATATCGCTTTTATTGCAATAAATAGAATAAATGCATTTTATTTAATCACTCATTTCTATGTCAGTATATGCGATAACTTAAAAGAAAGATATATTAATTTTTGTTATAATTTACCAATCTTCTTTCTTTATGTTGAATATTCAAGTAGTGCTAAGCAAATGCTGTACTTAAAAGCAACAAGAAATTCTAACAGTCTGGAAAATCTTTGTGTTTATCAGTTTAAGATACCGTATATTTCAATCATTAAAAATCATGTTGGATATCGACATTAAAAAGATGTTATGCATGTGCTAAAAGTTGTTAAAAAGTTATAAATTGTAAAAATTTATGATTAAATTTTATTCTAATCCCTTGAAAGCAGCTGAATGCTAAATGACGAACATATGGTCATAAAGTAGAAATTTTGATCCATGATTATTGACCAAGTAATGCTATCTGTTATCTCATTCATTCCTGCGTATCTTTTTATTAAGGCTACATTTGAAGTTTAAGTGATAAGAATATATAAATATCAATTCTTGAAAGATATTTACAGTATTCACCGAGAATTGTTGTATTTAGCTCGATATGTTTAATTTATGAGTTGTTATTAGATATTTAAGCAATTATTGGAAGTGCAAAGCACTAAGTAAATAAATATTTTCATTAACTATAAGAGTATATTAATCATTCTTTCGCATATTTAGAAGAATATGTAACCATTATTTAGGATAAAAGGGCTTTGTATGGTGCTAGAAAAAATAAAGTAATATTAATAAAGAAGATTTGTTGGCCTACAGTATCGTAATATAAACAATGAACTTTTATTTTAACGGCTTTTATCGGAGTATTGCTCAATCATCAATGAATTAACCGATTAACTGGACTGATTAACTAACTACTTTTGTACAGTTTCTTTTATACGATGATGACATACCTATGACTTTAATTATTTAACTCAATGTCTAATATTAACACCAAACTGCATATAGAGGTTAAAACTACATTTCGGTAGTAACGATATCACGCACTCCTAATATTCCTGCTTACATCAGCTGTATAATCTTAACAATTTTTATCGCCTAATGTGATCGTTAGTTGATGTAATATCAGCTTTAAACTTGATCAGCGATCGATAAGATAAATAAAAAACATGAGCTGCGGTAAAATCTCACGTAAAGTAGTTCACCGACATATTGAAAATTTTATTGATGATTTGTTTGACATCTTAGAGAACTTCCAGATTCATCTTCTTTGCCACTTCATATAAATTGAGCTAAATTTCCTGCAAAACTAAAGATAAGAGGTATTAATTTATTTCGATTCTGGGATCTTGAATTCCATGCTAATTGTAAACTTTCATTTGATTGGGGTAACAGTATGTCACACACCACTAGTGACAAAGTAGTCTACACACGCCAATCCTTGCGGAGAACGCCACTTACTAACTTAAAGAGGCGAGATTAGCTATATCACCAAATAATTCAGTTCCAACGACCGAATACTATGGTATAATTATAGCGTCACAGATATTCTTTGGAAATGATAAGAAGTCTACTGGTGACTTTAACTGTTCCAAGTCTGCAAGCTCTACTATTAGCTGATGGCTAGGTGGATCTTATAGATGATATAGGGAATTAATGATCAGAAGTATTTCTATGAGAAATGCTAGAAATCAGTAGTAATTTTGCTTTAGCTTTACAGCATTATTTGAAAGAAATGTATTTAAAAGAAATAACATAATTAGCTAATTACCTCGAGATTTATTAGCTGATAATAATATTATGAAAAGATGAGTGTCACGGTACGAACTACCGTGAAGAAATAGTTATCTAAATTTGGTTAATATAATATAGTGATAATAATATATTACATCTAGTTCCTTACAATAGGAATTACTCTAATTATAAATGTGTTACAGTAAATTTATTGCTGTGCTGTAATGTATGCTGAAATGATTCTGTGAATGGACATATTGTAGTCCGACTGTGAAAAACTAGTTAGTAGATGTTCTCACCCAAGTATTTTTATAAGATGACTTGTGAATGTTAGCTGCTGTAGAAGGGTATATAAGCCCGTCAGATAGTTGAATAAAGCAGTTCTCAATTGTCTAGTTGTTTTAATGTAGAATCAAAGGCGTCTAAATTCTTGTGAGGTAGTTAAGGGATACTGAATCCCGGAGACTATAGTAATTTCGAGATTTGTTTTACGTTATCCTTGTCACGAAGCTGGTTTGTGACCATGAGATTGAGATTGATGATGAGATCTATGAGATTGTTGAATATATTATAGCAATTAATCGTTTGAGAAGGATTATGCCATTGATGACTGGTGCTTCATATCAATTTTATTATGTCTCAATTTTACGCTCATAAAAAAATTATAAATAAATATTTACATCTATTTATGCATTGGTTACTTCCATCTATTAAATTAAGATAAGGAAGCTTAAGGTATGGTAAGAAAACATAGTCTAACTTTTATATTTTAGTATAATTTTCTAAATTCATTAATAGGTACTTCTGATGGTGTTTCGTTGCTAAAATTTCCTCCAACACATGCTCAATGAGTAACCACTATAATCCTCAATCCATAGTTTATACAATTAGCTCAAAATCTTTATATTGCACATATTTCACATCCATTATTCTTCGGACTAGAGAATATACCAATAGCCATTTATCAAAAACTATTTTGGTCGACATTCATAGAATTTCGTGCTGAAGACTGATTAAGAGAACTTGTTAGAAGTACCGGCGATCTCGAAATGAAGTTGGCATCAGCGACAAATTCAGTTGATAAAGTTTATTCTAAACAACTTTTGATAGAAATCCAACAATTGATTCTATGCAATGTGCATCCAGAGATTCAAATCAATATTGATATTAGTTAGCTTATTCTTGATTCTTGGATTATAATATATAATATATATATTTCTAAAGTTTTATTTCGTGATATAAGTTTATAAATCAGAGTAATATTAAACCTTGCAATCATTTTAGTACCTATATGAAATCATAAAATCAGTAGCAGGATAATTTGTGCAATCCCCTTCTAAATAACTTTTAATGGCTTCCATAGAAACTCAATTTATTGTTAGGAATTAATTCTACAGAAAATCAACTTCCAATTCATTCCTGTTTTCAGGTTTACTATCCAACAACATTCGATATTTAGTGTCTTTATATAATTTACAGGCTCATCGACTTGGTAAAAAATAATTAAAGTATGAGAGAAGGCAAATACTTATAAACTGAAGTTAACATTATTTCTGAACTCACAAAAGAGTTATCTTGCGTCGACCAATCATAGTATCAAATAATATAAGGAATACATGATAATTTAAATTAGTTTTTAGAACTACAAATTATAAGATTTTGTACCTGATTAACTTTTCGATGATATCAGTTTTATTCTCCATAGAGGTATTGAGGTCCACCAGATCGCTAAGCTGACGGCTATATCAATTTAACCACAAACGCTTAATTATTTGTAACCTAGCCACAACTAAGCTAACTAGGCAAGAAAAACTTTTGCTATAGTTCAGTACAAACTCGTTTTATCAAATTACAGATTTTAGAACGATAATCCTTGAATACCGTCATAAAATCATTAACCAGATTTAAGGAGCAGAATTTTCAGTAATACTACAAACAGAATTGGTCCTCATCGTATATATTATCATGTTAAATTTAGCCTTTTTGTAATTTTTTGAATTAGATACTATAAATAGAGAAAATCTAGTTCCAAAACTAAATCTATTATTGATCAGAATTTTAGCGTAAAGTTTGCTTTAGCAGATCGCTTTCTTTCAATTGAAACGTTAAACTCGTTTACTTATATCTTTGATCAAAAATATTAAAATATCTTAGCTACAACTTGTAGGACCTACTATAATAGCATTAATAAGTTCTTAAAGGTCCTAAAACTAAAAATCTTTGGATATTGTTTAGTAAAGTTTGTAGCTCGTAGCATGTTAATTAATGGCAATTTTCCGAAGCTATCAAAGAATTGCTTTTTATTAAATCAATTGCTTCCTCATAGAGACGCCTAGAATTGGTAGTTCTCAGCACGCCATCTAACAAAGATTTTCCGTAAATTGTTAACAGTGTAAGTCAGTAATTCTGTCATATGTAGGATTATAATCGAATTATGGCCGTGCTATTCTTCTCATTGTAATATTCAGTCGCCAATTTTGCACAGCATCTTACCTTAAAATATGCTATAATGCCAAAAACTAGTCTAATATGAGCCAATTTTGATTACAATCTGCATTTATTCTCTCCTTAATAAAACCTTAGTCGTAAATTTTCCTTGTCAGCTGCTTTGATTTATCCAGAGTTCTATTTTAACTAATCGACTCTAAATCAATTTGCCTTATATATAATAATTCAAATACTATGGAAAGGGCTATTCTGTACCTACTAATAACCATACCAAATGTAAGTTAATGATATTGAACGTATGCTATGATTTCTGCAATAGCTCGAGAATATTTTAAACGGTTTACATTTGCATATTGAATTTTACATATTTTATGTTATCACAGATTATGACACAGGTTAACATTAAACCTAAACCAAGATCGTGCATCGACATCAAAGAACGTGATCGAGATGCCAGGAATGGACTGTTTACAATTTACAACCAATTCAACAGCCCATTTACTACATACTGTGATTTCAATTCGGATCTAGGATTTGCTTGGACTTTAATAGAATCGATGACTTTAGCGGAATCTCTTACAGCAG